GAGCCAAGACATTCACTTTGCACAGAACCACTTTCTTAGTGACTAGGGTGAATTTCTCAATCTTTCTTTATGTAAAATTCACACCTCCTTTTAATAAACAAAGCTTTTCTCCCCTGAGCCTTTCTCCTTACATCCCACAAAGAATTTTGTAGAGCTTTATATTCTAACCTGTGTTGTAAAATTGTTTGCATTTCCCAAATATAAATATTCTACCATGATAGTTAATGTATTATTTTTCCACGTCAGGTTCCTCTATGAGATTCTGGTGACATCTCTCAAGGGGCGCCATGCTCCCCTCCTCCAGGTTGTTAGCCATCAGACTGGGTCAGAACACTGTATAATTCTCGTTATGAATTAAGATTAAAATTCATTTTAAACATGTCACAAGGATCCAACACATTTGTGGAATTTTAAAGGCATGTTCCTTTAAAGTTAACAGTCATGATCTCAAAAAAGACCTGTAGTCTGTTAGAATTCCTCTTAACACGGGCTCAGCCTCACCATCCTTACACCGCAGCTGAAGCTGAGGTATTGCAGCAACACACTAATGAAGACTGTTTTGAGAACAACCAACCAGAGACAAGGGGTCCTGTGATGGCGGCGGGGGTGTGTGTGCGCACATCCGCAGGTACCAGCTACCAGCCCTGCTGTGCTGTCCCCCCCCCAGAAGCCCAGGGCATGCTGGGAGCCCCAGTGATTGCAGAGTAGCAGCTGAAATGAAGATTTTCTACATCTACTGCATATTTTTAAATAACTAAAGATAATTTTCCCTAGGAATTCTGGAAAGGATTATTTTTCCATTTTAAATATTTTGCATTATAATAAAGCAAGAGCAAAAACATAGAAAATGCACATGCTACCCCTCCTCCACTCCAAAAAAACCAAAAATGAGGCAGACATTCAGGAGCCGAAGATACAGTTTTGAGGAAAATACATAATATCATAAGATATGATTAAAACAGGTTCTAAATGGCGGTGCCCATAGCTCAGTGGGTAGGGTGCCAGCCACATACACCAAGGCTGGTGGGGTTGAATCCAGCCCGGGCCAGCTAAACAACAATGACAACTGCAAACAGACAAACAAAAAAATAGCCGGGTGTTGTGGCAGGCGCCTGTAATCCCAGCTACTTGGGAGGCTGAGGCAAGAGAATCGCTTAAACCCAAGAGTTTGAGGTTGCTGTGAGTTATGACGCCACAGCACTCTATCCAGGGCAACAGCTTGAGATTCTGCCTCAAAAAAAAAAAAAAAAAGCAAAAACAAACAAACAAACAAAAAAACAGGCTCTAAAAACAAAGCCATTTAAAACAAAAATCTGAACCAAGCAGTGCTCCAATGAGCAGCTCTTCAGAATAAGGTAAAGAGGAAGAATTTTTCCAAGAGCTCGAAAGTTTCCATTTAGCTGATCATTCCACTCTGTGCATGTTAAAACTGAAGAAAAGAGTCAGGAGGAAAGAAACCAAACTTCTCAAGTCTCATTAGAAACAAACAAACAAAATCTTTAAAAGGAGCCCTGAGAAAGCCAGGATTGGTCTGTTTCTGAGGATAACATGATGAAAAGTATTTAGTATTGGGCGAGTTCTCTCAGGAAGGAGGACTGGCGTGTGTGGGGAGAACAAACATTCTGCTGTCCTCCTGGAGCTGATCACAGCTGATGTCATCCTGCAGGGGAAACAGCTTTTGGAAGTGAGACCTCTCCCTCTTTCCCTTGCTTCCCCCGGCAATGCCAAGTGAGGCCTCTTATTTATTTATTTCTGCTTGTTTGTTTGAGATGAGGCCTCGCCCTGTCTCCCAGGCTGGAGTACAGTGGTATGATCACAGCTCACTACAGACTCAAACTCCTGGGAAAAGTGATCCTCCCGCCTTGGCTTCCCAAAGTTCTGGGATTACAGTTGTGAGCCACTGTGGGTGGGGGCTCTTTAAAAGAAGACTGCTGCCTTCCACAGATGTCTCAACAGGGGGTTCCACCAAAGCTTCCCACTGTTAAACAGTGGGATGAAAGGGGGTAGGAAGAACACTTTCATTTAATACTTTATTTCTACCCTGCACTGGGTGCTGAAGTCCTCCTGAAGGCACTTGAAGTATTTGACAATATGTTTGCCCTTCCCCTCATTGGTTTGGAAGCTGAATATTCCTGTGTCAAGGGGACAAGACATAGGAAAGGAAGGAGGGTTCAGTTTTACATGTATAAAAATGCCACCCAGTGGCCCAGCTGCTGGCTTATATCTGCAATGGAGCAAATCCCTCTACGATGACCAGCACAACTCCTGCTCTTACACAGAAGAATCCTCCATTAGAGGCCAGAACGAAAGAGCTAGCTGCTTGTTCAAGGCCAGGGCACGACCATCCTAGAAACCTAGGCGAGGGTGGCCAAGGGCTTACCTGTGAGGACCCACCCATGAAAAAGACCTTCACACAAAACTTAGGGAGGAAAGACAATGAAAAGAACCTAAAGGGAACATTTGAGGAAGTATTTGCAATCGTTTTGGGGAGATTAAGAAAAGTATCAGCAGCACTGAGCCCTTCTAAGAGCTGGGTGTCTATGGGGAAGACAGTAAAGATAGCAGCGGGGCTCTACCACACCAGCCAGTGCCAGTGAGCTCCAAGGCAAAAGCCATTCACCTGCAGGGCCAGCTGAAACCCCAGGAGAGAAGCCCCAGACCAGAGTTTCTTGGAAACAAAGACACTATTTGCTTTATCTCCCAGAAGAAGAAAACCATGAACTTCACTGCCAAGCTCTGAAAGCAGTTCATAAAAGCTTAGCCTCATTGGGCAAATGAATACCAAGCCATCTCAAGGAATCAAAGTAGAGATGAGTTTATCCTAAACAGGTACCACAGAAGAAAAACAAAAAGTCTGCCAGCCTCTTAACAAAAGGCTCGTGCCAGGTTTTCATTTCAGATTACATTTAATACAGCTTTCCTTTCACATTTACCAATAAACATGGGCAAGCTGCTTGCTAACCTTTAAAGAGGAAAATGTACTCTAGCAGCGAGAGCATTACCTGACAGAAGCTTCCTGGGGCAAGGGCTCACTCCATGTCTCTGTAGGGCGTGCTTATAATTTTATGTTGCCTCAGCATCCATTTTTAAATATGTTTAACTTTCTCATACCAGAAGTAGGGCTCAAGAACCCTTGACATGGTTTCTATAACCGTACCCTACCCAAATGGCTCCAGCCAATGGCCAGAGATGAAAACTCACAGGCATCTCATGCTGCGTGGGCTGGGCTCCCTGCTTTCCCACTGTTTCCTTTAAACGGGCCATTCAGACATTCCCCGATAACTTAAAGTACCTCTCAGTAACAGCGTGGCCTCCTCGAACTAGTGACTGTTTTAAACCTACTCACAGGAAATGTGTTTGGATAACGGACTGAATCCAATAAAGACACAGGCCCATGGAGTCTGTCTTTTCCTCCCTGCCTGTGTCCCCTGACCTCCGTGTGGCATTCAGGCTGCTGTATACCCCTCGGGTGTTAAAGTACTAAAAACTTGAACTTTCACACTGCAATTATGTCACTGAAGCCAAGCCTTTGGTCCAACCCTGACAGACAGACCCTCCAGGACACTCACATAGGTGGGTCCCCTACTGGTATTCTTCTGCCTGGGCCTCTGGTGGCTGCTGAAAACTCAAAGAACTTCACTCAAACAGCCCCTTCCCTGCTTCCAAGGAACCCAGGTACTGTGTCTGGAAGGTGTCCTGGCGTGACACAGTTAAATGCTGGCCCATCCTCTAACGAGGTTCTTTTCTACCTCTTTTCTCCTAATCTTATAAGCAGTTGAGGATTATAACAAGCTAGATATGGATAAGACTGAACGCATGAGTGAGAGTACTAGGAGAAATGTATGCAAATCAATGCACTTATCACTGAGCTAATTAGAGAAATGATTCCTCTGTGCTAAGGCTTCAGGAGTAACCATGACTTCAGCCCCGGGAGGGCATCAAGAATTGTGTTGGAGGAAGGGGTGCAGGGTGCAATCCTTTTCTTAACTGTTCCAAGAAATGTTGCATTGTAAGTGTCCAAAAACCAAGATACTTACTTCTAAGCCTTTCATGACTCTGACACAGCCAAGGACCTGAGCGCAACTCACCTGTGCTGAATTCGAGGATCGCTCTGTACCAGGGGTAAGATGGCCTCTAGCACTTTGCTGGCTGACCCTGGAAGCATCTCCAGTACCTTCTTATCAATGGCCATTTTGTCCACAATCGTTTTAAAGTATCGCAAGGCACTGACAACTTCCTTTTCTTTCTCTTCCAGCCAGCTCAGGTTCTGAAAGGAAACGTTAAGCATAAGGAGGGAGGGGAGAGATTAAAGGGAGCTATTTTGAAAAAAATAAAATAAAATTTTGTTTAAACTAGCTTGAGACTGATGCCAATGGATAGTTTCTTGTTGCAGAAACTAAGGCAGATTATTTTTCTAAAGATTATAATCAGAGGACAAAGCCTAGACCTGAAGGAAGAAGAAGGGGGCTTGAACCAAGAAAGGTCATTTAGTAATTCCTGAATTTCCACCCCAGCTACTGAGGTCTTGAAAACCACTTCTCCTCCTCTCCATCCTAGTAACCACTCAGAGCTATCACCACTAACCTAGGTGTACAAGGGCTGATGTGATGACGACCTGGAGAAGCAGTGTCCAGTCCCATAGTATGTACACATCCTGTAAACCCAATCAGGAAACTCCAGGCCTTTCTTTCAAAGATCTGAAGGTCTATGTAAGGCTGGTCTGGGCCATGAGGGTTCAAAGCCATTCCCTCAGGATTCCTCACTAGATTCCCATTGTTCAACCCCATGAGGCCCCCTCTTGGAAATGATCCACTATGGCCAAAGGGCCTGGGAACTCCCAAGGCTAGAAGTGGGGCACGCTCTGGGATAAAGAGGTAAGGAGTCAGAGCAATGTCTTGTGCACCAGCTAACAGCTTTCAGGGTCTTTCTGCTCCTGGGGAAAGCTGACCCAAGAGGGAAAGAAAACCCAGGACCCTGCACTATGCAGTGTGCAAAGCACCACCTCAACTCTTCTCCTTGACTGTGAGAGATGTGGCCCACAGCCAGCAGGTATATATACCCCTTCTGTCCTTTCTCCCCCAACTCCCACTGGTCCTGATGTCCATGAGCCAGGTACTCCACTGGCTGGCAAGGGAAGCAAAATCAAGAGTAATCTACAGAATGGGTAAATCCAGAGCAGATAACTTCCTCAAGTAGATTGATTACACGTCCACTGCAGATCAGGAGGGAGGGGCATGCAGGAGACACACTGCCACCTGTGGACTCTGTCCGTCCAGTTTACATGTAAGCAGCTGAGGGTGTAAGGAGATAATTTCTAGAAAAAGCTGATCTGAACACTAATCTGTAAATATACAAATGATAGAAATAAAATGAAAAGTGTGTTTCTGAACACTAGCTCTTCTGAAATGATGAGGAACATCATTTTAAATTAAAATAATTCAGTAGTAGAAGCTCTTCTTTCATGGGAATATCAAAATAAAAATATATAAATGAACTAGATCAACAAGTAAAGAGCTACATCAGTCAGACAACTTGCAGACCCAGTGTAATTTCTCTGAATGGACACTTCTACTTCTGTTTTGCACACTGCAGAAGGCAATCTCCGGATCCCCAGTGCCCTGGCTTGATTCTTCTCTTTTTACTCCTGTCTGCTTGTTTCTCCATCTCATGGATGAAAGCTCTCAGTTCTACCATTTCTTGCCCTCAGGCAGGAGGAGCCTGAGTGTGCAGGAATCACGGTGCTGGCAGACTTCAAATGTGCCCCAAGCTATGGTAGCTATGGCAAGAGGAGGACTATGAAAATAACACTGCCACCTTAGCATATCAGAAAGCAGAAGCCAGAAATGATGAAACTTGGCGAGGGACGAGGAAACACAAGAAAATGTGTCATCAGGTTTGCTAGGCATTAGAAAGGCGCAAGGCATTTCAGAGCAAAAAGAAAATTTTCCTGTTGTTTAGAGATCAAGTCGGCTGTGTAGGAGCTGGGCTGCTCTGGGCTCCTAATAAACGAGCCAACAACTCAGAAGAGTCAGGCTGCACTCACTCACTGTCAAATCCCACTCCCAGATCCACGCCCTCAGAGCACTGTGCAGCACCCTAGTCCTTTAGCTGTTATTTTTTTTGAGACAGAACCTCAAGCTGTCCCCCCTGGATAGAGTGCTATGGCATCACAGCTCACAGCAACCTCAAATTCCTGGGTTTAAGCGATTCTCTTGCCTCATCATCCCAAATAGCTGGGACCACAGGTGCCTGCCACAATACCTGGCTGTTTTTTGGTTGCAGTTGTCATTGTTGTTTGGCAGGCCTGGACTGGATTCAAACCTGCCAGCTCTGGTGTATGTGGCTGGTGCCTTAGCTGCTTGGCACCAAGCCCCTTTAGCTGTTAAACTGTGGCTTCTTACAAAGCACAGCTGTAATCAGGGAGTTGACACACCTATGCCCACCACCATCCAGAACTGGGGAATGGATGCCATGGCTTTGCTAATGGCCTAGCTGCATACCCTGAGAGGAGATGTGTCTACCTGTGCACCCCTCCTGCTGTGGTAGATGAGGTGCCACCATGGGTTCACATGAGCCTGGAAACTATCTGTGCCTGAAGAAGGCCTAGTCCTGAGGTCAACCGCTGGATGGCAGGCTGGTCATTTGCAAGTGGTAAGAATGATACCAGCCCTGTGCAATCAAAGACTGAACAGGATGCAAATGGAAGCAGTGAGTAAGCTTTAACAGATTCTGCACCAACACCACGGGCAAAGACCTGCTGGTAATAAAGTCGAGAGAGAGAGAGAGAGCAAAATATGCACGACCCCGGAAGGGAAAGAGAGAGCCAGATCACTGCTCCCACTCATTGGGACTTCCTGGCATACACTGTGCTGGGGATTCTATACACATTCTTTCATTTAAGGGTTACAGCCACCATATGACGTGGACACTATTATCTCACAGGTGAGGAAACTGAGGCTTAATGCAGAGTGAGAAGGTTAAGCAACTTGCCCAGCGTCACACAGCTGTAGTAAAGGAAATGGAATTTGAACTTGGTCTGTTAGATTCCAGCCCTGCTCAGATGGAGAGGAGAAAAAAACAGACCAGTCAGAAATCTACTGGAAGAAGTGAAATACTATTAGAGATCCCCTGGTCTCATTTAATAAATGAGTAAAATGAGGCCCAGATGGCAGAGAGAGACTGAAAACTTCCACCGGAGGTAAGAAGTGAGGAAGCACTGGTCCTGTCTCCAGGTGCTTCTTCTGGGCAGCAGAGCAGCACCCAGAGCCTCCCAGACCTGCCTTTTCATCTCCTCCTCTGCAACCCTGGGGCTCTCCTCCACAGTGACTCAAGTCTTATTCCCAACACAGCAGGACAATAAACCATGCAAATTTGGGCTAAAGAGAAGAGCAAACTAAAAATAGTACAATAAAAGCTTCAAGGACAGGATTTTTTTTTTTTTTTTTTTTAAGACAGAGTCTCATTCTGTCACCCTGAGTGGAGTGCCATGGTGTTATAGCTCACAGCAACCTCAAACTCTTGAGCCCAAGCAATCCTCTTGCCTCGAGTAGCTGGGACTAGAGGAGCCTGCCACATCTGGCTGTTTTTTAGAGATGGAGTCTCACTCTTGCTCAGGCTGGTCTCAAACTCCTGAGCTCAAGGGATCCACCTGCCTCAGTCTTCCAGAGTGCTAGGATTATAGTCGTGAGCCACTGCACCCAGCTTAAGCTCAGGATTTTTTAAAAGGCAATGCAATATTATTCCTTTTCATCAACCAGGATAAGTGAAGCCTAGTGAGATGTGTCTGACACAGAGGTCAGTTACAGCAGCACCCATATCACTGCCCACCACCGTACTGCAGCATCTCTGCTTGTTTTTCATCATAAGATCTTGAGAACAGAAAGGGAAAGGTTTTCAGGAGTCTACTCAATAAGCCCTGATTGCCTTCGGTGATGGAGGACTCACCTCCCTCCCCACCAATCCATTTTTGGACAGTGCTAATTGTAATTGTGATAGGACTGTCATCTTCGGATTCCCAGTGTAGCTAAATTTTCTCCACTGCTTTAACACTCTGCAGCTTCCTGCTAAGCTTGTTTAAAAGTTGCAAAAAGGTTTATAAATTCATCACAGTGTACTTTGAATTTAAAATTCAACTAAGATGTAGGAGACTACTGAAAGTAGTCTGGAAAGACAACAGAGCATAGTGGGAAAACCAGACTGCAACTAAGAACCCAAGCCAGACCAACCCTGCCTGCATGGTGGGATTGAAAGCTTCCCACAGTTATAGAGAGCAGTGAATAGACAGCTCATGTGAAATCCCCCAGATTGGGCCTGGGCAAAAAGGAACCCTCAGTAAGTGGCAATGAATCTGAATCTGCGCTTCTATCTTCCCATGCTTCAATTTCCACATATTCCAACAGAGAAAGCCATGCACACTGGAATGAAACGAGGATGTGTGGGAGTGCACGAACAATAAATGAGGCAGCAGACGATGTCGCAAGGCTCCTCGGACATAAGCCTCTGAGCCTATGTACTCTGGCATGTTCCTCAACACTTCCAGCTACATCTGTGGGCCTCCACTAAGTGACAAGTTTGTGTTTAGTTAATCCCACACAGATGACTGGGGCAGAGCATAGAAATCCAACCCTTCTTAAAGAACAATGACTAAAAAAAGGGAAAAAAACCTTCTTGGTAGAAGAGCACACCTACAGCTCCTGGCCTTAGCACATGTCTCTAAGCCTCAGCAGCACACCTGCAGCTCCTGGCCTCAGCACATGTCTCTAAGCTTCAGCAGCACAACTGCAGCTCCTAGTCACGGCACAGGTCTCTAAGCTTCAGCAGCACAACTGCAGCTCCTAGTCACGGCACAGGTCTCTAAGCTTCAGCAGCACACCTGCAGCTCCTGGCCTCAGCACGTGTCTTTAAGCCTCAGCGGCACATCTGCAGCTCCTGGCCTCAGCACATGTCTCTAAGCTTCAGCAGCATACCTGCAGCTCCTGGCCTCAGCATATGTCTCTAAGCTTCAGCAATACTGACATTTTGGGGCAGACAATTCTTTGTTTGGGGGGTGCTGCCAGCATATTGTACACTGTGTATCTGTACCCCTGGCCTCTACCCACTAGATTTCTATGTCTCCAGAGAGTGCCAAGTGCCCCCTGGGGCTTACAGGTGCCCCAGTAAGTCAAGGACACTCTCATATCACGTGTTCTGCCATGATCTCTCTTGGAATAAAAAAGAAAAAAATACAAGAATTGAGTGGCTGAACAGTTTCATATCAGAGTTTACCAGCAGAACAAACTTTATTCTGAATTGCTCCAAGAGGTTGCTAAACAGATTGTAATAAAAAATAATTGTGATAATAACTATTATGTACCCATAATAATTAAAAATAAAAAGCTGTGCCACTGACCAAATCCACCTTATTATTCCCCTTCAATCTGGCCAACATTGACTTTCGCCTCCTGCTCTGAGTCCTCCTTTGCTTACCACATGGGGTGGGAAAAACTTTTAACAAAAGAGTTTGGGGTTTTTTTTTTTTTGAGACAGATCTTCAAGCTGTCCCCCTGGGTAGAGCACTGTGGCATCACAGCTCACAGCAACCTCTAACTCCTAGGCTCAAGCGAGTCTCCTGCCTCAGCCTCCCAAGTAACTGGGACTATAGGTGCCTGCCACAACACCCGGCTATTTTTTTGGTTAGTTGTCATTGTTGTTTTGGTGGGCCCAGGCTGGATTAGAACCTGCCACCTTAGGTGTATGTGGCTGGCACCTTAGCCACTTGAGCCACAGGCGCCGAGCCAGAGTTTTAGGTTTAAAACCTTTATTTTTTCCACATTTAACTAGAATTTTAAGATACTGTGCTGGTCAACATAAAACCCCAAAATAGATGAATTACAAAATGCAAGAATTGGGTGTTTAAACAACAAGGTAGGGTTTACCAGAGGCATTAAATTGACGTGACAACAGTTCTACACTTTAGATAATCACTAAAGGACTACGGATCTATTTGTCTACAAAGCTTGTTTTTAGTTTACATTGCTAAGTTTAGTTTTGTGTACAATAATGAGTCAGCATTAATATTTAGATGCGTAAGATACTAAACTGTCATTCATAAGGAAGAAATGTAACATCTCGAGAATTCAGACTGTGACATCAGACAGCCTGCCTTCATCACATTTTTACTGTGTGGCCTTGGCTAAATGCTTAACATCTCTGTAGATTTGGTTTCCTTTTCAGTAAAGCAAGTTTCCACCTGTCAGGGCTGTTATGAAGACAAGACATGTAAAGCACTCAGCATGGGGCCAAGGAAAGAGGTTGGTAGGTGCTGGCGACACAGAAGGCGTCCCGGGCTCTGAGAGCTCTGGGTTACATGGCAGTCTCACCATAGTCCTTGCGAGCTGAGAGCACTCTAAGGCTTTCTTTCCCCTTCTAAACTATTCAGATCATCTTAGCAATTCAAGGAAAGAACAGCTGGTACTGAGAGATGAGACTCAACCACTTCCCTCTTCATCCTGTTGGACCCAAGCAGCACCCTCAGAAAGAATGCCCAAGCTTCTGCCACAGAGCACTGGGCTCTCTCCAAAGATTAGGGAGCCTGGATAAACTCTTTTATCCAAGACCCCTGGACTCTTTCCTCAATAATTCAGCCCACAGCCACCCCCCACCAATAAAGCACAATGATATTACAATAGATTTTTTCCATCCCCAAAACCATGGACCAGGATTCTGCAGTAGAAGGCAAGGCAAACCCAATTGTTCTTAATGTCACACTGACCTTCTGCCTTTGAGACCTGGAAGCCACAGCACTGGTGGACATAAATTCTACTGCCTGCTGCTCCAGATCCAAGGGGATAGGGTAGCCCTCTGGCAGAAATCTGTCTGTTGCCTCCTGGAAGAGAGGAAACCTAGATTCCTACAGAGCTTGAAATGGCCGTTCTAGGCTGAAGGGAGGGTTGACGGAATCAATAGCTGTTCTCACATATCCGGCTTGACAGGCCCTGCTGAGGTCACTAGTGCTTGAGGACATCTGGCTGGGTTTCAAGGGGGTTGGCATTTCAGAGCATAGACCCTAAACTGAATGATGGATATTCCAGACCTCACGAACTCCCCTGGGTTTAAGTATGAGCCAGGGCAACACGGGGAGCTCTGGGGCAGGGAGGCAGCTTCTTGGGGTATAAACAGAACGTGCTGAGATGTTTTAAATGCCCAAGGGATGACACAGCTGGAAAAGGGAAACTGTTCCAGCCAACTGCACTTGACTCTGATTAACTTGGCAAACACCATCCTAATAGCTCTTATATCACTGAGAGCTCAATTCCCAGGGGGATGAATGTACAACCAGCAGAGACTCACACTGCTGAAGGCAGCTGAGGCAGGAGAAACACCTAGATAGAGGTGGCTTACTTTGTTCACAGGCTTCTCTGGAGTCTTCACAGACACCTCAGCTGGTTTTCCTTTCTTTGATGGCGTTCTTTTGATTTTGGGTGAGTGGAATTTGTCCATCAGCTTCATGGTGAAGGAAGAGAGATGAGAACGCTGGGAGTCTGAAAACAAAGAGGGCACTGACTGTTAGAGGGCAGAATGAGGAGAAGGATGGTTTAATGACCTTCTGCAGAAAAGAACAATGTCCTCAAACCAATCTTTTTTCTCTGGCTGTTCAAAGTTTCAAGGGGAAGGGTGCATTAAAACTACAGTCCTCACCTGCCAGGCAGCAGACCTGCACTGTAGATACGGGGCTGCAGAGCAGGAGAGTGAGGGAGCCAAGTTTCATCTTTATTTACAGCCACTCCCCATCACTCACTTCCCTGCATGAGCTCCACCTCCTATCAGAAGGAGGTAGCATTAAATTCTCACAGGGCTGCAAACCTGGCTGTAACCTGCCAACGCAAGGGGTCTAGATTGCGCTCTTAATGAGAATCCAGTGCCTGCTGATTCGAGGTGGAGTTGAGGTGGTTGACATCAGCGCTGGGGGAGGCTGAAATGCAGATGATCATTAACAGGGAGGGCTGACTGTACAGAGACCATAATGAATCAATTGCTTTCAGACTCATATCAAAACCAAACATCACCACCCCAGTCCTGGTGTAAAAGGTTGGGGACTGCTGCATCAGAACATCTCTGCTTACAGGTTTCAATTTTTGCAGCTTCCATCTACATTAAGTTGTTCAGAATTGTGGAACTCAAAGGCACTCCAAATAAACATGGAAAAAGAACTTGCAAGTTATTTCCATATGTTCTTATAGAATGCACATGGTGATGATGAAGATCTCAGCCAATGTACAAGGGAAATGGTTAAGAAGAAAGCAGCCGAGTAGAACTGCAGATGAACAGGATGTGAGCACCAGAAAGGAAGCCCCTTCAAGTCTTCCTTCTCATGCTTTGGTTTAGAAAACTCCAACAAGTGACATGTTGGAGGCCCCAAAGGTGGAAGGGGAGACTAAACTAGAAGCAAGGTGCTCAGAATCCTCTGGGCCATGGAGAAAGACTGACTGAGTTCCCCCCAGGATCAGGAGCAAGACTGTGCTGTCTATTCGCACCACTCATATTTAACATTATGCTGGAAGTTCCTGTGGGGAAATTAGGCATGAAAAAGAAATAAAAGGCATCCAGATTGAAAAGGAAGATGTAGTCTATTTGTAGATGACATGATCTCATGTATGGAAATTCCCAAGCAATCCACTAAAAAACTATTAGTACTCATAAAAAAAATTCAGTAAAGGGGTGGCACCTGTGGCTCAAGGAGTAGGGCACTGGCCCCATATACGGGAGGTGGTGGGTTCTAACCCGGCCCCAGCCAAAAACTGCAAAAAAAAAAAAAAAAAAAA